TTTCTTCTTGTACTGCTTTGCGCTGTGTTCCTGCGCTTTTCTGCACCAGTGCTTACACGTACAATTTTGTCAAGTTTTTGTGTCTTGTGGGTTTGTGCTGTGTTGTGACAACACCACCGACACCACCACCACCAACAGTAGTTCTGTTTTTGCAGCAGCACTACACGTAAAACTTGTCGCCGATTTTTTTTTTACCGTGTGCTGTGCTGTGCGTTGTGTTTCCTGCGCTGTTTCTGCAGCAGCACTTACACGTAAGATTTGTCGCCGTTTTTTTTTTTTTTTTCCTTGTGCTGTGCTGTGCTCTTGTGGTTCCTCACGCTGTTTCTGCAGCAGCACCCGGGTCAAGACACGTCTTCCGTTCTCAGCGACGAGTCCGTCTTGACCCAGTGGAGCGTGAGCACGCAGCGCAGCATGCTGAGCGTTGGCGACTTTCCGCCCGTGAGGGATGGCAGCTCACCCAACAGGTTTGTTCAAGAGCCGCTAGCGTATACTCCTCCGGCTTTTCCTTTCCGCCATAGCGGGAAAGTTATGTAGCTAGGACAACAACTAGGCAGGCCAGTGAGCATCGGGGGTGTTCGCAAACGACACCTGGGATATGTCGTTTCATGGCACTCGCTTCGCGTGGTGGTTGCGTTTCTCGTGTAGTATCTACCAGCATCTTTTATTGGATTAGACCGGCTGGGCACCAAGGGTAAATATTTTCTTTGCTGCCTCACGTTGTATTGAGGAGGTACTGCATGGAGGTCAGAACGCGTTTGATGCGAGAACAACAAGGACGACAATAGCCGTACTTCGATTTGATCTGACTGCTTCCTCCCCCCTTCTGCCCTACGCGCGTGTACGGGTAATCGTCAGCTAACCTTCGACGCACCCGAAAAACGTATACGCCGATGTTGCCGACCGAAATTTTTATCACCGCAGCACGAAATCAATCAACAGGCTCGGGGGACGACAGCGGTCATCCTCGGTTGAGTCCGTGGGAGAATCGGGCTACTCCACTACCAGCGAGGAAGGGGAGGGCTTGAAGCGTCTCACGTCACGGCGCCCCCCGTTGCCAGCCGGATGGGGCCTACCCGCGGTTTCGTCTGCGGAGCCCCCGCCCCCCAGCACCGACAACGGGCCCACCACTACCGCTACCGCGTCGCCCCCCGCGGCGGACGCCAAGTCCGACGACCCGCCAACCGTGGGCAGTAGTGGTGCCGCTGGTTCCACGCCCGCGGAGGTTGAGTGGGGGGTCGAGGACGGTGGGTCTGGGAGTTCGGAGACCAAGGACGGCGGCGACGATGACGATGACGATGATGGCGGGAGGGACGGCAACGGCGGACAGGACGGGCAGGATGGCCTAGACGAAGTCGGCGCTTGTTGTGCCGATGCCTCCAACGCCGAGGAGGACGCACTGATGTTCGGGCTGCAGGCGGCCGCGGCGGGGACGGCGCGAGATCAGCAGCAGCCCTCCACCCCGCCGCCGCCGCCGCCGCCGCCGCCGCCGCCGAGGCGGGCTACCTCCCAGGACCCCGCCGTCACAGCAGACGACGACGACGAGGAGGAGGAGGACCAGGACGGTTTTGGTGAGGAGGAGGAGGACCAGGACGGTTTTGGTGAGGAGGAGGAGGAGGAGGCGGGGGCTGCGGCGGACGATGCCGCGGCAGCACTGACGGCGAAGATCGAGGACCTGACGCTTTCGGCGGACGCTGTGGGCCTCGAGGGGCCGAACCCCGACGGGATGTTGCCACGGACTCCGGTGCCGGACGTCGGAGCCGGCGGTGGTGCGCTGGCGGGAGCGGCGCTGCAGCAGGGGGCGGCCGGTTTCGCCGAGGAGGTTGGCGGGACTAGCGTGGACGTGCGGCCTGCGGGGGGGGGAGAGGGAGGGGACGGCGCTGGTGGAGTAGAAGCAGCACCAACAGCACGTGTCGTGGCAGCGGCGGGAGCCGCAGCAGGAGCAGCAGCAGACCACCCGGCAGCGGTGGTTGTCGGAGACGTGGAAGAACTTGCCCAGAAGAGGGGCGGGCTTAACCTTACGCCGCCCCCCTGGGAAGCGAACCAGAGACGAGATCTCCCTGCCCCCGCCGCCGCCGCCGCCGCCGCTGTTTCGTCCCTCCCTCCGCCACCGGCGGCTGCGGCGGCATCTTCCCTTTCCTCGGGAGAGTCGCCGCCCGCGTTTGCACCGGTACCGGCAGCAACAGCAGCGGCAGCATTAGCAGCAGCCACGCCCCCCGGCGACGACTGCTGCGGGGGTGGGGACTCCGCGGAATCGGAGAGTGGGGAAAATAAGGAAGACGGGGGGGAGGGGTCCTCTTGTCCCGAGCGACTAGCGCAGCAGGTAGCAAGCGGCTTGGATGGGGGGCGGGTGGAAGGGGCGGGGGCGGGGGCGGGGGCGGGGGCGGGGGCTGTTGCTTCGCTGCAGGGTCTGCCAGGCAGAAGTGGGGAGGGTTGCGGAGGAGGAGGAGGAGGGGGAGGTGACAGCGGTGTCGCATCGGGCGGCGGGGGGGGGGCAACGGGAGGCGGGAAGGACGGCACGGCTGCTGAGCCCGTGGCACGCACATCTGCAGCATCCAATGAGGGGGGGGTCGTTGAGCCAACTACTGCGGGCGCCGCCGCAGAAACAGCAGCAGCAGACGGGGTGACAACAACAGCGGCAGGAGAGGAGGCGGATGGGGGTAGGGTTCCGGCGTCTCCTCCGGCGGTACGAGGAGGGTCTTCTCATGTGCAACAGGCGCCCGGCAGCAGCAGCAGCAGCAGCGCCACAGTCGGCGGCGGCGGGAAAGGGGGAGGGTCGGGTGTGCTTGAGGGGCGACAAGACGGTGGTATCCCGGGCGCTGCCGTGAACGAACCGGGTGGGGACGAGGGAGACGACGCGGGTCGGGCATGGAGCAAAGAATGAACGTCACGATCTGCCCCTGAGGCGCTCGTGTGTGCTTTCTCTCCGGGGCCGGTTTCGTGGCCAGTGCAAGCGTTGGCGCGCGGGGTTTTTGCTGGCGATGCATGAGTTCGGCGGGTGCGCTCTGTGCTCTTGACAGGCCGGAATGGATGGAAGAAACCTTACGAGTGGCGGTGCGGAGGGATAAGTGTTTGGGTGTTTTTTTTGTTTGTTACAGGCTTGTGTGTTACTGTTGCGTGACAGTAGTAGACGTACGTACGTCAAGGAGCCGGGGTGCCAGGCTCGCAGGCCCCTCCCCCACGCGTATCTTAATCGTAGCCACCTTTAGTTCCTGTTTCTGAAATCGCAGCAGCGGCAGCCGCCGCCGCCGCCGCTGCCACCGCGCGAAGGGGTCGGAGTCAGTCATTTTCGCACCCGGCTTGTGTTCGGTCGGTCGGGGTTCTATCTGTATTTTACCTCTGTCGAATCGTTTTAGCCACGGCATGCTTTTTTTCTGTCGTCGGGGGTTAGGCCGCCCCTCATGGTCTCCTCCACCACCACAGTAAAATAGCAGTAGAGGTTGCCTTGGGCAAACATGTCAAAATGCGGCAGGTTGCGCAGGGTTATACCTCCTGAGGCCGGTTCTCAACAGCCCGAATACCTCCGCAGCAGCAAGAATGCCGAAAATGGCGGCGTTGGAAGAGGCGTTCCGGCGATAGCTTTTCCGAAAACGTACCACCTGTTTTGGGGGGCCCTGATCGTCGTGGGGCAGCCGAGCTTTGCATGTCGGTGCCTGGGGTGGGGGTGGGGGTGGGGGTGGGGTGGTATCTGAAGCAGCGACCGAGGGTTGGTGGGTTGTGCACCCGAACTCCTGTTTTTGTCCGGCATGATCGCCGCTCAGTGTTCGTTGTCTTGTGCGCTTGTGGCTGACTCCAGGGGGCTTTTGCCGGAACAAAGTATTTATTCTATGTGGTATCATTCTATCCACGGCATGCGTTTTTCGCTTCCGTTTTTTCCCTTTTTTTTGTTTTATTTGGGGGCATTTTGGTTTATTTTGTTTGTTTTTTGTGAGTGTTTTTGCACGTTCACCCGGTGATTAAGCTAGGCTATAGACAACAAGTTGGCGCGGCGTCATTTTGTGGGATTCGTCGTTACGAAGAGATTTGTGGTTGATGAAGTTTTTGCGGCGGCGGCGGTATATGCCTGCCCCTGCCGTTTTCCCCCGAGGGCCTCTTTTGATACATGAATATCCGTGCGGTGTGATGAAGGAACACCCACAGCAACACACACACTGCTGTACGCAGCTCCAAAAAATAGTTGAAAACATTCACTCCTGAAAACGTTCATTCTCCTCCGGTGGTGCGTCCAGAAATTGTTCCGAAAGGAGTGATTACCGACACCAATAATAAATGGGATAAAAAAAAATAATAATATGTCCCTTCCTCCTCCTGCGTGTGACCCCGGCTGGGGAGTGAAACATATGTACTGCACCGGAAGGTATACCGCAGTAGATTGTTAGATTGTCGCCAAGAAGGTATACAGCAGTAGATTGTTAGATTGTCGCCAAAAAGGTATACAGCACTAGATTGTTAGAATGTCGCCAATAAAGAATTGGAGGTATTCGCCGTGTCTCCCTTTTTGGGTGGCACAAGAATTGAATCCCACGGTCGTTGCCACATCGTTTGCCACCGATTCGTTCGGCGAGACTATTTTTTTTGCGTACCCCGCGGCGGCCGGTGTCTCTTTCATCTTCCAAAGTTAGTTAATTAAGCTGGTTTCGCCTTTGCCTGTCTGTCAGTGCAAACCACGTCGTCACCCCCCCCCCCCCTACCCCAGTCCCTTTCTTGCACAGAAAAAAACGACACAAGGCGGCACTCCCTGGAGTAGCGTCTAGTAGTTGTAAAACCGACACCGCAATGATGGATGTTTCCGTTCTTCGCACACGAAGTCGTACCAGGCCCGCTTTTTTCGAAAACGGCCAGAAATCGACCACACACACTCACACCGCAAAAGACTGGCGTGTTTTCATTGGTCAGCCGGGTATGTAACGCGCGCGGTCGATGCCAATTCCAGAAACAAACCGAAAACCGCATGCAATTCGTGCGGCTTCGTCGCCCGGCTGACAACACACAATATGCCAAACAACATAATGAACACCAATCAGCGTGAAGGCTGGCCGCCAGCCAGAACAGACTGGACGAATACATGCGTACAGACGTTTCTCTGACTTTCACCCGCACTGCAGACTGACGGAATTTCATTGGTCAGCCGGTTAGCGCACGGTCAATGGTAACGGTAACACACAGACGAGAAAGAAGACTGTTAGTTCGTGGTTTTTTTATCCCCCGCTATGTTCGAGACTGACGTCTTTTCATTGGTCAGCCCCGGGTAGCTTAGCGCGGTCTGCCGAAGCTAATGAACGCTACACTACAACACACGGACATGCATTCGTACGGTGCCTTCACGTCCAAACGCTTGCATTAACAACGCGGGTTACTTCTTCTATCAGCGCCAGTTCAACCCCCCCGCCGTCGAAATGCCCCGTCCCCTCGAGAGGACACGTACGTGTGGTAAATGGTCTACCAACTTTTAGGGCATGAGTACGGACTAGACTACTTCCCCCCCCCGCGCGCGCTGCAGTCTGACGAGTCAAGGCGCGAGATGAAGACCTCCGTTTCAGTTGGAAACCCCGAAAGGAAGTGGAGTCGGTCGGACGTAACGCCATGCTTGTCATGCCCCCTAGTAAATTTCTTTGCAATGAGAGCGCGACCACGACCAACCCCTACAAGATGTTTTCTTCATTTCATAGTTTTGTTTGTTTTCTTCATTTCATAGTTTTTTATCGCTTTACATGAATGAGCGCTCACAGCAGCTCGGCCGGGTAGCTCAAATCATCCGTGGTTACACAGAGAAAAAAAAAAAAGAAGCTGGACGTCATCATGCATGCAACACTCCTTCTTATGTGTACACATGGGCTGCACAACACACGTACAATGTATGTATGCATACGAACCCTCCTCACGTTGCCCCCGACATCAACCCCCCACTTTCGCATTTCTACATCTAACCCCCCCGCGCTTTTGACATGTCCCTTTCATCGACGATGTAGCGGTCT